AAAAATAATGTACGATCATACACAAGATGTAGCTCTTATGTGGACGATGTTAAAAATTATTTGTTGGTCAGATGTGATTAATAAGGAGCATCCAGATGCTGCATTTGATGAATTTATGAAATTGCTCCTTCCAATTATTGATAAACATGCACCTGTTAAGAAACTGACTGTTAGATCTGTTAAAGCTCCATGGATTGAAGAGGAATTGAAAAAACTGTGTGGTTGAAAGAGATGGGGCAAAAGGAGTGGCTAGTAAGTCTGGTTGCATATCTGACTGGCTGACTTACTGCACATTGAGAAATTATTTGACTGAAGAAACTGTATTATGAAGCCAAGTTAAATAATATAAAGAATGATGGACAAAACTTTTGAGTCCTTTTAAATGAAATGATGGGCAGAAAGACTCATTCAATTTAATCTTTCATCGATTCAGATGGCTTATTCATCACAAAACAATTTATTTTGCCAGTTATTATAATGATAACTTCATTGGCAAAGTGTTCAAACTTAAGCAGGAAATGCCAACAATGAACAGTGAGCCATCGTATTCATGCATCCAATTGTATTTATTTTTTTAAGAATGAAAGAAAAGCATTGTAAGTTAGAATTTTGTAAAGTTAGTGTGGGAGAGGTGGCGAAATTGTTATCTATCAATAATGGCATTGACAACTTAGATGGAAAGTTACTGAGGATGGTAGCTGACTCTATGGCCACTCCTATCTGTCATATCTTTAATCTGAGTCTAGAGGAAGTTGTTTGTCCTCAGGCCTGGAGGGAAGCCAAAGTCATTCCGCTACCCAAGAGTGGTAAAGTGTCCTTTACTGGTTCTAAACGGTTGAAAATGTCTTATTTGTATTTATTTATTTTTGGTACTTTTTACCCCCTTTTCTTCCCAATTTTGTGATATCCAATTGGTAGTTAGTCTTGTTCCATCACTGCAACTCCCGTACAGACTCGGGAGAGGCGAAGGTCGAGAGCCATGCGTCCTCTGAAACACGACCCCGCCAAGCCGCGCTGCTTCTTTGACACACTGCTTGCTTAACCCGGAAGCCAGCCGCACCAATGTGTCGGAGGAAACGCCATACAGCTGGCGACCAAAGTCAGCGTGCATGCACCTGGCTGCCACAAGGAGTCGCTAGAGCGCAATGGGACAAGGACATCCCAGCCGGCCAAACCCTCCCCTAACCTGGACAACGCTGGGCCAATTGCGCGCTGCCTCATGGGTCTCCCGGTCGTGGCCGGCTGTGACCGGGAGGGTTTGGCCGGCTGGGATGTCCTTGTCCCATCGAGCCTGGATCTGTAGTGACGCCTCTAGCACTGTGATGCAGCGCCTTAGACTGCTGCGCCACTCGGGAGGCCCTAAAAAGATGCAATTTCTCTGTAAACAAATTGACAATACTTTTTATAGTGTGCTTATAGAGAAGGGCACTGATACAAATAACTGATTGGTTGAAAGAAATGGATAATTATAAGATTGTGGGAGCTGTACTGTTAAATTTCAGTGCAGCCTTTGTCATTATTGACCATAACCTGTTGTTGGCAAAACGAATGTATTATGGCTATTCATCCTCTGCCATATCGTGGACTCAGAGCTATCCATCTAATAGAACTGAGGGTTTTCTTTAATGGAAGCTTCTCTAATGTCAAACATGTAGGGTTTGGTGTACTGCAGGGCAGCCCTCTACTCTTTTCTATTTTTACCAATTACCTGCCACTGGCATTAAACAAAGCCTGTGTCCTTGTATGCTGATGATTCATCCATATGTGTCAGCAACCACAGCTAATGAAGTCACTGAAACCCTTAACAAGGAGTTGCACTCAGTTTTGGAATGGGTGGCCTGTAATAAACTGGTCCTGAACATCTCTAAAACTAAGAGCATTGTATTTGGTACAAATCATTCCCTAAGTTCTAGACCTCCGCTGAATCTGGTAATGAATGGTGTGACTGTTGAACAAGTTGAGGAGAATAAATGACTTAGTGTTACCTAAGATTGTAAACTGTCATGGTCAAAACATATAAAACATTAAAAAAGAAACGTCCTCTCACTGTCAACTGTGTTTATTTTCAGCAAACTTAACATGTGTAAATATTTGTATGAACATAGGATTCAACAACCGAGACATTAAACTGAACAAGTTCCACAGACATGTGACTAACAGAAATGGAATAATGTGTCCCTGAACAAAGGGGGGGTCAAAATCAAAAGTAACAGGCAGTATCTGGTGTGGCCACCAGCTGCATTAAGTACTGCAGTGCAGCTCCTCCTCATGGACTGCACCAGATTTGCCAGTTCTTGCTGTGAGATGTTACCCCACTCTTCCACCAAGGCACCTGCAAGTTCCCAGACATTTCTGGGGGGGAATGGCCCTAGCCCTCACCCTCCGATCCAACAGGTCCCAGACGTGCTCAATGGGATTGAGATCCGGGCTCTTCGCTGGCCATGGCAGAACACTGACATTCCTATCTTGCAGGAAATCACGCACAGAACGAGCAGTATGGCTGGTGGCATTGTCATGCTGGAGGGTCATGTAAGGATGAGTCTGCAAGAAGGGTACCACATGAGGGAGGAGGATGTCTTCCCTGTAACGCACAGCGTTGAGATTGTCTGCAATGACAACAAGCTCAGTCCGATGATGCTGTGACACACCGCCCCAGACCACGACGGACCCTCCACCTCCAAATCGATCCCGCTCCAGAGTACAGTACGCTCATTCCTTCGATGATAAATGCAAATCTGACCATCACCCCCGGTGAGACAAAACCGCACTGATGTTAGGATTGTGTGTTCCTGGTGTAACTCGGGCAGTTGTTGTTGCCGTCCTGTACCTGTCCCGCAGGTGTGAGGTTCGGATGTACCGATCCTGTGCAGGTGGTGTTGCACGTGGTCTGCCACTGCGTGGACGATCAGCTGTCCGTCCTGTCTCCCTGTAGCGCTGTCTTAGACGTCTCACAGTACGGACATTGCAATTTATTGCCCTGGCCACATCTGCAGTCCTCATGCCTCTGTGCAGCATGCCTAAGGCACGTAAACGCAGATGAGCAGGGACCCTGGGCGTCTTTCTTTTAGTGTTTTTCAGAGTCAGTAGAAAGGTCTCTAGTGTCCTAAGTTTTCATAACTGTGACCTTAATTGCCTAACGTCTGTAAGCTGTTAGTGTCTTAACGACCGTTCCACAGGTGCATGTTCATTAATTGTTTATGGTTCATTGAACAAGCATGGGAAACAGTGTTTAAACCCTTTACAATGAAGATCTGTGAAGTTATTTGGATTTTTAAAGACTTTGAAAGACCTGAAAAGGGGATGTTTTTTGTTGTTGTTGCTGAGTTTAGATTCAATGGTTGTAATGATGGTGAGCGGTCTGTCCGTCATAAAGAGATGCTCTGCTTTTTTGACACCACATTCCAAAAAGCAAGACCTGCAGGCTCTAGTTTTGTCTTGTCTTGATTATTGTCCAGGCATGTGGTCAAGTGCTGCAAAAAGGACCTAGTTAAGCTGCAGCTGGGCCAGAACAGTGGGACGTATTTCTCTTCATTGTAATCCGAGGGCTTATATAAATACTATGCATGCCAGTCTCTCTTGCCTAAGGGTTTACTTCTTAAGAAACGTGTTGACAATTCCAAGTTGTTTGCATAGTCAACTAAGGCACAGCTCTGACACACACACCCACCAGACATGCCACCAGGTGTCTTTTCACAGCCCCCAAATCCAGAACAAATTCAAGAAAACGTACAGTATTATTGCATGGAACTCCCTTCCATCTCGTATTGCTCAAATGAACAGCAAACCTGGTTTCAAAAAAACTATAAAGTAACACCACGGCACAACGCCTTTGACCTAGATATTTTGTGTGTATGTACTGATATGTAGGCTGTGCGCCGTTTTAACATTTATGTAGTTCTGTTCTTGTCTATTAATGTTCTATTTTATTTCATGTTTTGTGAGGACCCCAGGAAGGGTAGCTGCAGCTTTCGCAACAGCTAATGGGGATCCTAATAAAATATCACATGAACACTGTTTGTGAACACAATCACTAGCTAAAATCCTCTGTAGCAAGCAGTGTGCGAGCACAATGGAACATACTTTTGATGTTCTGAGACCTCTTGTAGTCAAATAGGCTCTCTGAGATTACACAGTAATTACTAAAATTCTGTTTATTGATCATAAGAAGATATGACGTTCAAAGCCATTAACAAACTGAGTGGTTCACTCAGGTAAGTGTCAAATGCCATCTGATATATTTCTGATAAATAATATTGATATTAGTCTTATCAGGGAATATAGTGATAAAATACATTGGCTTATCGGACTAGTGTTTTCTCGAGAAAACAACTAAGTGATTCCACTGTTTTTGTCTGCCTGCTTGCTTGAGAATCACTACCTGTTAACCACTCTAGCAACCATCTGATCTGGTATATACTAGCCCTGCCCTGTGCCCTCCATGTTGTGCAAGCTAGACTAGTTGTTGTTGTTGTTTTGAAAGGGGAAAATGTGACAAATTTGAGCTTTGTCACCCTTGTCCACAACTTGTTTTGGACTTATAACATCCCAGATAGGCTAGAGTAGCAACCTGGGTCTTTCCAAGAAAATGGTTGTCTAATGGTCCTAAAAATTGATGTTTTATTCCTTATAGATTTTCTCACATTTCCCAGTTTTACCTCAGGGTGGTATTGGTGCATTTGTTTAGCATGTTCTGAAGTGCTAGTTATTTTTCTTTTGTTGAGAGCTTCACGTTCATTCTTATCTTTAGATGGCATTCGGCCACGCCCCTGTGTTTTTAGGATGGATTACGTCAAATATCCATTTGCTTAACTACTGCACTGACATCATTCATGATATTATGTCAATACATGTTTTTTTATACTGCTGGAATGGTATTATAAATCTTAGTGAATGTCCAGCCCCCACGCTGGGCTTTGCCTCAGCCTGACTTCACAGCATTCATACTCACACTCGCTACACTGGCTGACTACATCTGACTGTTTCACTTCTCTCTTTTTCAGTGTTTCACTGGCAAGCCACGATAATGGGACCTGTAAGTACTGTGACGACAATCACCATTATCATATTAGTTTTTTTTTTTTTGTATTTTGATTACATTTTCCTAATGACCTGTGAAGCTCTGCCAAGGTTTACATGATACCAATAGTGCTGAATCTTCTACTCTAACAGAACGACAGTCCTTATCAGGGTGGGGTGTTCTTCCTGACTATTCACTTTCCCACAGACTACCCCTTTAAACCGCCAAAGGTGAGCCAGAAATATGTGTTTGTGCGCATGCGTGTGTGTGTGCACACTGAAGTGACAGACGACATCCATTTATCCTAGTCAGTCATACACACATGCATTTGTCTGTACGTGTTTTCTCTGTGATGGCTGTACGTGTTTTCTCTGTGATGGCTGTACGTGTTTTCTCTGTGATGGCTGTAACTGCGTCGTTTCTTGATGCTCCTTTTCTGTACCCTTCATCTATTTTAGTTCTTCCTCCTCTTAACTCAACCACGTCTGTGTGTGCAGGTTGCATTTACCACGAGAATCTATCACCCAAATATCAACAGCAACGGCAGCATCTGTCTCGACATCCTGCGATCACAGTGGTCTCCCGCCCTCACCATCTCCAAAGGTACACAGTAGATTACACCATACAATAGAGTAGATGGAAGATGTGAATTAAACAACTTTGTTTTTGTCACTGTAAGGCCGTAAAATAGGAAATGATTTTTTTGTTGGTTTTGGTACCTGTGTCTGGTGTGGTATGAGTGACTGGCTGAACTTTCTCCTGTTTGTCTGTTTTGTCACAGTAACTGCCTAACTAATTTAAGTTCAACTCTCCTTACCTTAGTCCTAAACCAATAACATCGAACCTTGACCTCTTCCCTTAGTTCTCCTGTCAATCTGCTCTCTGCTGTGCGACCCAAACCCAGACGACCCCTTAGTACCTGAGATTGCCCGCATCTACAAGACGGACAGGGAAAAGTGAGTAACTAACTATAGCTCTTGCTTCAGAGGATAGTGTTCTATAGGATAGCATACAACCTCTTGAGTCCATGTGGTTAAACATAGGATTATCTCGTTAGATCCTTTAGATAATCCTCTGGGTATCTGTCTGTATGCTAAAACTGTTGAACATATAGTAATCTGGACACTTACTGTATTCAAGAACCGGAAACAAACTATTTTTCTCTGCTTTCAGGTACAACAGAATAGCTCGGGAATGGACACAAAAGTATGCAATGTAGTGTTGGCGTAGAATCATGGCGAACCACCTCTACAGCTAATGTTAGTGGAGCTTTGAAAGTGAAGAGAAAAGAAATGAAAGATCTTGTTGGTTTCCATTGGAGTGCTTTCTTTGAGCCACATCTCCCCTTAACCAGAGCACCCGTAAACTCCCTCTTTCCTGCCCTGTCCCCCCTTCCTTCACAACCAGTCCACCCCCCTCCACCTCTCCACCCTACTTAACCTGGCAGCCATGGTGTACATATTCTCAATTTGCAATCGTACCCCCCTTCTACTCCTCTCATACCTACCCCACACTCCCCTCCTTATTCCTGATCATATTCCTGATGCATGCTGGGCTACTCCTCTCCCCCCTGACGTTCCCATAGGGCCCTCCAAATGTTCTTCACTCTAAAAGCATTCCTTATCATCTGTGTGACTAGGGGGGGTGGGGAGGGGGTCTGAAATGTAGGGATATTTTACTCTACCTTTTTTTTTTTTGTCTCCTGATCTCCCAGCTATGTAGACGTGAAAGCTTTTCACATGTTTAGCCGGGGGCACTCGTGTGTTTTGTATCAAATCTAGTAAGGAATTATTTTAATCATAGCGGGCTATAAAATGAAAAACTGTTTATGGCCTTTTTGTCTGTTTCTCTTGAATTATATGAAAGGACTTGAATTGATCCACTCTCCCGCACTATTGCCATAAACAAAGATTGTTCCGGCACGCACACACATCCACACACACACACAGACACCCCCTTACCCCATTTCTCCAAGACCACCACCTTCGTTACATTCACAAACTGGAGGTTTTGGACCAGGTATTTAAAGAAAGTTTTCTTAGTTCATCCTGTGTTTTATTATTTCCCTACAACTCTTAGGTTGCATTTTTGTTACTGTTGAAATTCGAGGCTAACATCTTCAGGCTGTGGGGCTGGTTTGGGCTCTGGGTGTGAGGACAAAATGCTCCTCACACAAACAAACTCTGTATATTGAATTACCTGAGAGGCTCTTTGAGCTTTGTGTTGATTAAACTGTGTAATAAAAACCATGACTCAAGCATCCACTGTTGAGTTTCAAACATCACTGACTGGAGAGATGGATGGAAGACAGCTACTGGTTTTGCTTCTTGGGTCTTGCAATTGTTTTTTCCCGCTAAATTAAAAGAAGGAAAAAAATAGTATTTCGTGCTACCATGTCTAATATGGCCCTAATATGTAAAGTACATTTAATCACATCTTACATAAATGATGTTGCATGTAGAATGAAAAGGTGACAAATAACTGTTTATGATTTAACCTATTTTTCATCAAATGTTTCTTATGTAGTAGACTACGGTTTAGCTCCCAAAACATCTAAATAAATTAACTCCGATTGTTGACCATCTACAGCAGGGTTCATCAACTAGATTCAGCTGCGGGAAGTAGCGGTGCTGAAGCGCCGCCTGAAAAATCACAAGTAGTGCGCTGGGCCTTTACTAGTATTAACGGGCGATATTCATCTGTAGCGCAGGCAACAACAACAAAAAATCTGCACCTCTGCTTTGCAAAAAAAGGTAGTTGTATAATTAAGAACAGTATCTTGCAGGATTCATTAGTTGGAATTGAAAGAGTTGTTGCCCTGTCACTTTCTCTGCGATTGTCATTCTAATGGAATCCCGAAAGAACAAAACCCTATCCTCAAACATTTACATCAAAAGGTGCGGAGTTATGGGCAAAGACAAAACATACACATCAAATTAAATATTTTTCTTGATCAACATGGAAACAACCACTTGGGTAGTATTAATTTATCATCTTTACAAACCACTTTATTTAAATGAGCATAGGCTGGTCATCTAGGTTTGTACCTGTAGACTTTCCATCACCATGAAGAAAAACAATGCACAATACAGTTATTGACATCAAGTGGTTTGTGATGATGTGGCTCAGTTGGTAGAGCATGGTGCTTGCAATGCTAGGGTTGTGGGTTCGATTCCCATGGGGGACAAGTATGAAAATGTATGCACCCATTACTCTAAATTGCTCTGGATAAGAGCATCTACAGTTCTAAAATGTAAAAGGAATAAATAGACTATTTCGGTTTTCACATAGAAATAAGTTGCATTTGCAAAGTATTTCAAGAAACTGCACAATATATCAAGCAAGTATTTTTATATTCCACAAGTATTATCAGAATTACTGTTTTGTATAGATAATTGTCAGACTCAAGTTACGAATGCTGGTAAACACTCATACATTTAGTTTTTTCTCTCACAAAAGTAGGCCGTTACTCGTCCTGTATTAGGGGATCAATATAGACAGGGGAATACTTTAAAACAGATTTCCAAAATTAAAACCAGTTGGAGCTGATTTGCTAGTTTTTTACAGTATTTTGTGTCCAACAATTAAGATAAATATATTTATTAATTTGCTCAGAGAACTGGGGGGGGGGGGGGGGGGCTAAAAAATATGGGCGGGCAGTTAGGGAACCCTGACCTACAGTTAGCTTATAACCATTTTGATAATGGGATTAATTGGCCAGTCCTATTGGTCATCACACCAGTGACGTCATTCAGTCTGGGTTGATACTGTCGGTCAGAAAGGACAGGGTTCAGATTTATTTTGATTGACCTTGGTGCGCTACCCCCAAACATAATACCGATCAACGGACAGGATGGCAACCACAGGTTTACCGTTACCTCCACTTCCAACGTTGCCAATGTCAACCCCAGTAGTAATCGAAAGTCATGGATTCCAGATATCTAAAGGTAAAGCAATTAATTTTATCGTTCTCTAAGTTAACGGCTGGCCATGTGAACGTTATGAATACCCCCTGTGAATAGTCTGTCTATAAATAATTAACAGTTGATCTATTCAAAACACTCGCCATATTTAGTCACAGTTCCAGCCCCTGTAAGCACAAGTTATTATGTAGCCTAAATATAAGGACATTTACCTTGTTTACTACAATCATTAGCCCACTGCACCTAATGACACTTGAAAGCAACCTTTTGAGAGAAGCCATAAATAAACTTGACGTCAGTTGCGTAGCAAGTTGTTTTTAACCAGGTTAGGACAACCTTACCACCAGTCAGCCCAGTGCACCTCGCAACTTTGTGTCAGGTGGCTTGTGTGTGGCCATTACTTCAGCAGCTAAGCCGCGGTAGCCTGTGCGCGACATTACTTGCTCTCCAAATCCTTGACAAGCTCGATTGTTTTCATAGGCCTACTTATCGTCAATCCAGATTGATGTAAGTAAATTTGGCTCTATGCTATCTGCCACTCTGTTGACCATAGTACAGTTGTAGATTCCAACCAGTAAAGCGATTTTCTCTGTTTACGTTCGTGCGCAGAGCTCCAGAACGCATGTTGCCCCAGCAGTGCCCCGATCTCAGATTTCATAGCGGGTTATGTGGGGCCAAGGGCCAGGCAATAAATTGGGGCTGTTGTGGCAGTCTGTCGACCTAAAGAAGTGTTGTTAGTCCCGTGTAGCTCAGTTGGTAGAGCATGGCGCTTGCAACGCCAGGGTTGTGGGTTCGATTCCCACGGGGGACCAGTATGAAAGAAAAATTTATGCCCTCACTAACCCATGTGGCGGCGTACAATTGGCCCAGCGTCGTCCAGGGTAGGGGAGGGAATGGCCGGCAGGGATGTAGCTCAGTTGGTAGAGCATGGCGTTTGCAACGCCAGGGTTGTGGGTTCGATTCCCACGGGGGGCCAGTATGAAAAATAAAAATAATGTATGCACTCACTAACTGTAAGTCGCTCTGGATAAGAGCGTCTGCTAAATGACTAAAATGTAACTGTAAGTCGCTCTGGATAAGAGCGTCTGCTAAATGACTAAAATGTAAATGTTGTTATGTTTAAAAAAATGTCTAAGATTTCCATTCCAATCGCCATGGCAATGTAGGCTTACCATAGTAGGTTAACCATTTCACATCTTAAAATAAGAAGAGGCGTTTAGTCTGGCCACATTTATGGTGTTTTATACAGTAATAGCCTACGTGCGCATATCTTCATGGATTAAGAACAGCACAGAGAATAGGCCATTTACACAGGACCTGTCCTATAGGTATATTATGCTTCCATAATAGCATTTCAGAAAGTGGAACTTGACTAATAGTGTTGTTTATATACCTTTATTACAATGTTACAGAGGAAGGCCTGGTCTTCTGTCAGGTGAAAATCCAAACTGTATACCTTAAAACGCTGAGTCTCAAATAGCCGCCTGTCCCTTTTAATAGCTGGACAAGGGCACACATTGATTTCAGCAAATAAACATCCGTTTCAAATAAACGTGGTCTAAATTAATTATTTACGAGGTTACCATGAATTATCATGAATTGGGGAATGTTTGATTTGTTATGTTAAATTCAATCATCCTTTTTTATCACCAGTAAGGCTAGTAAGAAGCTGCTAGCCATTGGCTGCTAACAAAGGGGCCAGGGTTCAGGTCTAGAAGCATGGTTTCCACTGCTCAAAATGTTTTCCCCCATCACTCACAGCCTAAGATATTACTATTTACACTGAACAAAAATATAAAGTGTTGGTGCCATGTTTCATGAGCTGAAAAAAAAGTACCTACAATTTTTCATTCGCACAAAAAGCTTATTACTCTCATGTTGTGCTCAAATTAGTTTACATCCCTGTTAGTGAGCATTTTCCCTTTGCCAAGATAATTCATCCACCTGGCAGGTGTGGCATATCAAGAAGCTGATTAAACAGCATGATCATTACACAGGTGCACCTTGTGCGGGGACAATAAAAGGCCACTATAAGTTGTACACACAACACAATGCCACAGATGTCTCAAGTTTTAAGGGAGAGTGCAATTGGCATGCTGACTGCAGGAATGTCCACCAGAGCTGTTGCCAGAGAATTGAATGTTAATTTCTCTACCATAAGCCTCCTCCAACGTCGTTTTAGAGAATTTGCCAGTATGTCCAACCGGCCTCACTACCGCATACCACGTGTGGGCGATTGGTTTGCTGATGTCAACGTTGTCAACAGAGTGCCCCATGGTGGTGGTGGTGGTGGTGGGGTTATGGTATGGGCAGGCACAAGCTACAGACAACGAACACAATTGCATTTAATCTATGGCAATTTGAATGCACAGAGATACCGAGACAAGATCCTGAGGCCCATTGTCGTGCCATTCATCTGTCGTGTTGGCCCACCTCATGTTTCAGCATGATAATTACCTTGAAAAGAACAGGCGAAGATCTTGGACACAGTCTCCAGTTCTTATTGTACCTCAGTGCTGGTAACAGCTGAGAACTGCCAGCTAACTGGCAGGCACAAAAACAGTCAACAACTTCGGGAGTACAGAAGAAAAAAAATGAATGACAGCTCTGATGGAAACAGGACGTTTCGGTACAATTTTAGAAATGCTGACAGATAATTTGTTCGTTTGACATGGTGGGATCTTTTTGTGTCAGTAAAATGAATTATGCAAGAAATGGCGGTGGAAACACCTTTATGCGCAAATATTGATATAATAACCAGTATATTGAAGTAAGCTTGGAGCCAAGCGATGATATGGTGTGTGGTCCTCCCACTACGACTCGGGAAAGTATGCAGTTTAAATTAGGCTTCACAGGGTGATGAATGGTGCACTGTTATCTTGATGCACCTTTCCAATAAATATCGAGGGTCTTATTCTGGTGACATGATGATCAATGCTTGACTGCCGTTTTCACAAATATCCATAATCTCATCATGTAGACTAGCCTACCCACACTGTATCTGCCAGCTGTTGGCTAGAGCGCACGTGCCAAGACCAGAGATGGCACATTTGCTATCAGTGGAGTTAGAAATGGGATGGAAACACACTGAACTTTTGATTTTTATTCGCTCAGGTGTACCCTGTTTCCATTGGTCATCCTTGAGATGTTTCTACAACTTGATTGGAGTCTACCTGTGGTAAATTCAATTGATTGGACATGATTTGGAAAGGCACACCTGTCAGTATAAGGTCCCACAGTAGACAGTGGAATTGTCCGTAGAGCTCCCGAGACAGGATTGAGTCGAGGCACAGATCTGGGGAAGGGTACCAAAACATTTCTCCAGCATTGAAGGTCCCCAAGAACACAGTACCCTCCATCATTCTTAAATGGTAGAAGTTTGGAACCACCACGACTCTTCCTAGAGCTGGCCGCCTGGCCAAACTGAGCAATCGGGGAAGAAGGGCCTTGGTCAGGGTGGTGACCAAGAACCTGATGGTCACTCTGACAGAGCTCTAGAGTTCCTCTGTGGAGATGGGAGAACCTTCCAGAAGGACAACTATCTCTGCAGCACTACACCAATCAGGCCTTTATGGTAGAGTGACCAGAAGGAAGCCACTCCTCAGTAAAAGGCACATGACAGGCCGCTTGGAGTTTGCCAAAAGACACCTAAAAGCTCTCAGACCATGAGAAACAAGATTCTCTGGTCTGATGAAACCAAGATTGAACTCTTTGGCCTGAATGCCAAGCGTCACTTCTGGAGGAAACCAGGCACCATCCCTACGGTGAAGCATGGTGGTGGCAGCATCATGCTGTGGGGATGTTTTTCAGCGGCAGGATGTTTGAACGGAGCAAAGTACAGAGAGATCCTTGATCGCTCAGGACCTCAGACTGGGGCGAAGGTTCACCTTCCAACAGGATAACGACCCTAAGCACACAGCCAAGACAACGCAGGAGTGGCTTCGGGACAAGTCTCTGAATGTCCTTGAGTGGCCCAGCCAGAGCCTGGACTTGAACCCGAACGAACGTCTCTGGAGAAACCTGAAAATAGCTGTGCAGCAACGCTCCCCATCCAACCTGACAGAGCTTGAGAGGATCTGCAGAGAAGAATGGGAGAAACTCCCCAAATACAGGTGTGCCAAACTTGTAGCGTCATACCCAAGAAGGCTTGAGGCTGTAATCGCTGCCAAAGGTGCTTCAACAATGTACTGAGTAAAGCGTCTGAATACTTATGTAAATTCCTTCGACAATATGGCTTGGTTTTTGCTGTGACATGTACTGTCATCTGTGGGACCTTTAATAGACAGGTGTGTGCCTTTCCAAATCATGTCCAATCAATTGCATTTACCACAGGTGGACTCCAATCAAGTTGTATAAACATCTCAAGGATATTCAATGGAAACAGGATTCACCAAATCACTGCCAAAGGTGCTTCAACAAATTATTGAGTTAATGTTTTGAATACTTATGTAAATGTGATATTTCAGTTTAAATACATATATACATTCGCAAAAATGTGTGTCGATTGATGAAAAACAACAACAATGTAATCAATTTTAGAATAAGGCTGTAACCTAACAAAGTGGAAAAAGTCATGGGGTCTGAATACTTTCCGAAGGCACTGTACATTTAATTGTTAGGGAACTACTAACACATGTCACTTAAATTGGTACAGTACTCTCACTAACGGGTGCAACAAATATAGCCACGTAAGGCACGCCTTAATATACACTATATATTTCAAATTAGTGGATTCGGCTATTTCAGCCACACCCGTTGCTGACAGGTGTATAAAATCGAGCTCACAGCCATGCAGTCTCCATAGACAAACATTGGTAGTAGAATGGCCTTACTGAAGAGCTCAGTGACTTTCAACGTGGCACCGTCATAGGATGCCAACTTTCCAACAAGTCAGTTCATCAAATTTCGACCCTGCTAGAGCTGCCCCTGTCAACTGTAAGTGTTGTTATTGTGAAGTGGAAACGTATAACAGCAACAACAGCTCAGCCACGAAGTGGTAGGTCATACAAGCTCACAGAACGGGACCGGCGAGTTCTGAAGCACGTAGCCTGTAAAAATCATCTGTCCTCGGTTGCAACAAATAATAATAATAATAATATGCCATTTAGCAGACGCTTTTATCCAAAGCGACTTACAGTCATGCGTGCATACATTTTTTTTGTGTATGGGTGGTCCCGGGGATCGAACCCACTACCTTGGCGTTACAAGCGCCGTGCTCTACCAGCTGAGCTACAGAGGACCACACTCACTACCGAGTTCCAAACTGCCTCTGGAAGCAACATCAGCACAATAACTGTTTGTCAGAGGCTTCATGAAATGGGTTTCCATTGCCGAGCAGCCGGACACAAGCCTAAGATCACCATGCGCAATGCCAAGCGTCGGCTGGAGTGGTGTTAAGCTCGCTGCCATTGGCCTCTGGAGCAGTGGAAACGCTTTCTCTGGAGTGATGAATCACGCTTCACCATCTGGCAGTCCGGTGGACGAATCTGAGTTTGGCTGGTGCCAGGAGAACGTTACCTGCCTGAATGCATAGTGCCAACTAAAACATTTGGTGGAAGAGGAATAATGGTCTAGGGCTGTTTTTCATGGTTTGGGCTAGGCCCCTTAGTTCCAGTGAAGGGAAATCTTAATGCTGCAGCATAAAATGACATTCTAGACAATTCTGTGCTTCCAACTTTGTGGCAACAGTTTGGGGAAGGCCCTTTCCTGTTTCAGCATGACAATGCCCCCATGCACAAAGCGAGGTCCATACAGAAATGGTTCGTCAAGATCGGTGTGGAAGAACTTGAGTGGCCTGCACAGAGCCCTGACCTCAACCCCATCAAACACCTTTGGGATGAATTGGAACGCTGAATGAGAGCCAGGCCTAATCGCCCAACATCAGTGCCCGACCTCATTAATGCTCTTGTGGCTGAATGGAAGCAAGTCCCAACAGCAATGTTCCAACATCTAGTGGAAAGCCTTCCCAGAAGAGTGGAGGCTGTTATAACAGCAAAGGGGGGGACCAACTCCATATTAATGCCCATGATTTTGGAATGAGATGTTCGACAAGCTGGTGTCCACGTACATGTAGTGTATGTTAATTAGCCAGCGAGTCTTTCTCCTCCCACAATATTTCTCCACAATGTACCATAATTTACAGTACGCTGCAGTAAATATATTGCAAAACAGCAATACAGTACTTTATTGATGTATTGAAGATAAATTATATTTGGTGTTTTATATCACTTGCACTTTAGGCCTTAACAAAAGCTTCTAAACTGATAGAGACTACAAGGAAAAACAGACCAAAAGGACATGGCTAGCCACTCAACCATTAAAGGTTGGAGAATTGCTGCCTTTCTGATCTATCCCCTATATAAATTGAATTGTTATGGAACCACTACCACATATCACTTAAATTGCTACAGCACTCTCACTAACGGGTGCAACAAATATAGCCTCTTACAAGACACGCCTCAAAATATGTTAATGAGTGAGAAACAACAATACCATGCACCCACTAGAGTCCAAAAGGTTTTTGTCGCTCCAAAAATGCAGTATGGTACTGTATTCTGAATTACAGTAAATTACTGGCAGCAATTGGCCAGCATGTTACTGTAGATTTTCAGTCTAATAAAAAGCATGAGCTGGCGCACACCCAGAGAACATTATTTAGTGTAGAGGTGCTGACCAACGGAGAATAAACTGGAAGCTATAAAGACAGTCACACACACTATGTATAAACTCCCAGTAAGTTATTAGGTAAGAAACCACCAACGTTTCGGCATCACTGTGCCTTCTTCAGAAACATTGGTGGTTTCTTACCCAATAAATTACTGGGAGTTTATACATTGAGTGTGCGACAATCTTTATTTGTTTTTATAACTGTAGATTTTCAGGACAAGGTTTGCAGAATTCCTAAAATACAGTATATTACTATATTCTGTGGGGGTACTGCGTTCTCACTCACGGATGCAACAATTATAGCCTCTTACAAGGCACGCCTTAAAATATGTTTCGGAGCCAAAGACTCTTTCCCCGCCCGCAAACATTTTAATTAATACTGTAAAACACATTTACGGTATTTTACTGCACATTCTACAGTGTTTTACTGCTGAAATTACAGAAAGGTCTTACAGTGTGCTGTAAAACAAATGTATGGTATTTTACTGTGCATTCTACGGTAATCTACTGCATTATGTTTATACATTATCATACTGTTGGTTAATATAGTATGTTACTGATAAAATTACAAAAAACGGTTAACAGTGTACATGTGCATTCTCTCTGTTTATGTATGCCTGTATGTGTTGTTGAATTTCAGACCAGCTGACTGTCCTGGTGCCGGTGGCAGTGGCGGCTGCTCTAGGTGGCTTCCTGGTGAGCCGTTACTTCAGTGGGCGTGGCTGTGGCAGCAGTAAGAAAAGCCAGGTCAACCCCTGTGTTTGTAAGGACAGTGCCAAGGTGGTGCACAGCTTCGACATGGAAGACATTGGCAGCAAGGCCGTCTACTGCCGCTGCTGGAGGTCCAAGAAGGTGGGCACTTCTTCTTCTTTACTTACCTTGAGACTTGACTGTAGACTCCTATGGTCCCTGTTGCCATAGTTGGACGCCATAGCAGTCTACGGTCATGTCTCAGAGCAAAACATTCACTATCATTATCAACTATAATTTGCTACTTTTGACCGTTTTGCGAAGTGTAGTTTGTTATGGGATTTTTATGGGTGGTAAGGTTATACCTTGTGTTATTTATTTACTTATTTGTGTAAATTTCCCCTTTGGGTATCACAGTTTATTCCATTTCCCCACAGTTCCCCTACTGTGATGGTTCCCATACCAAGCACAACGAGGTCACTGGGGACAACGTGGGTCCCCTCATCATCAAGAAGAAGGATGCTTAACCAACCTCCCTTTCCCCTACTCACCCCTCCTATCAAATCATCACTCAACACCATTCAGTCACATGACACATACGCCACAGTCAAACAATCACTTGACATATCCATCCAGAGGTCCTACAGGTGAGCTGAATCACTGCAGGATCCAACCACGCTGAGCAGAACTCCTGCTCAAACCGCCTTCATACAACCCACAGTCAAAACCCCAAGGGAATGATACATTGATTGTGATTTTTGTCCTAGAAGCTCAGCTAATTAATGTTATTGAGGCATTGGTCTTAATGGTCTTAACTAAGAGATTAATAATACATGACTGAGAGTGGGGAAGGTGCTACCCTGTATTTCTATATTCTCTGACACAAGAGGGCACTTGCATTTCCCCTCTAAGACTATTGTGTTCAAAGTAAACCTTTAGGAATATCTATTGTTAATGTCCAAATGAGATACATTTTCTACTGAATATGACTGACTTGATGGTGATGTATATTGTGAATACATGTGTCTTAAAGTGGTCAGACTTGAGTGTCTACTGTCATTCCTTTCCTGAAGACGTAGAAGGCCGACATTATATGGTGCTGAATTTATGTTTCGCTGCAAAGCAGTTTATGTGTGCCGATGTATGCCATTTTACCCACTGACACAAGGCAATATTTTCTCTCGCCGCTGGGAGCTGCTCTCGCTCCACTACGAGGTGTGAGGATTACTACGATTAGGCAGCACCCGCTCCATGTTTCTGCTGCCCAGGCTGGCGGACACACACACACACACACACACACACACTCATACACACACTCAGCCTCACACCACAGCTGGCTGTGGTCCAAAAAGGCCGGACTCTCGCAAGAGGTGGAGTGGATTACCCTGCCTAGGACCCTGAGGAGGACGAGGCTGATGCAGTGCACCTCTAAATGGGCCCCAACCCCCTCGCCCTCTCCCCTGATGGCACGTACCCTTCCAACACCATCACATGCCATGGGAAGGAACACACACACAACATACAATCACTCACCTGTCAGTCTGATTAATTTAATCACACTGTGATTCCTCAAACAGTCTCAAATAGCCCTTTCCAATCATTTGTTTTATTTCCAAGATAATTACCAATGTATTTCAAGACTTTGGCGTTGTCACCTGTCTTTTTGTATGGTTTTGTAAAATGCTGTGTAGCACAGAAATGAAATGAGCACAGGAATTTGCTATTGTGGTCAAATTCGCAGTGGTCTAAGGCACTGCATCGCAGTGCTAACTGCATCGCAGTGCTAACTGTGCCACTAGAGATCCTGGTTCGAATCCAGGCTCTGCTGTAGCCGGCCGCAACCGGGAGACCAATGGGGCGGCGCACAATTGGCCCAGCGTCGTCCAGGGTAGGGGAGGGAATGGCCGGCAGGGATGTAGCGTTGATAGAGCATGCCGTTTGCAATGCCAGGGTTGTGGGTTCGATTCCCACGGGGGGCCAGTATAAAAAAATATGTATTCACTAACTGTAAGTCGCTCTGGATAAGAGCGTCTGCTAAATGACTAAAATGTAAATGTAAATGGTCAAGGGGTCATTTTTCTGCGTCTCACGGCCATGACTCCAGTTCGCTTTTTGTGTGACGCTCCCCAAATCTATGAAGCGTGTTTGCATGTTCCACTCTGAGAGTAGCGGGGACGAGGAGGTGGGAATGCGAGACGCGAAAGGCGAAGGACCTGTGCAGCAACCGAATTGGACAAATGGTTTACGGCTTCGTTTTCTTTAGTGATCACTGCAGATAGAGCTTGGATATGTCTAATAGTTGACAATTTCTTATATATTTTTTCTATCTCCCTTTATTTATTCCAATATTCGTGGAAGACACCACGGACAAACCACTGGACAGTGGGGCTCTGGTCAGCTCGCATCGCATTGGTAGGTGCACGAATTACGAAAGGCTGTGTTAATGTGATATTAATAATATATTGAAGAGAGAGAAATGACCTATTCATACTTTTGCAGTACTATCAATTGTAAGAATTACATCACTCGAACACCCACGTTATCGTTTATTGATGAAATATAGCGTTTTGTATTTATCTACTGCGACCCTGTCGTGCGCGCGCGTACCCTGGACTGTCACCGATTCTAGACAATAGGTCGTTTCTTGTCCTATTCGAACTCGATGGCATTTAGAGGTAGAGATTGTATATTCTCGAGCCTGGCTCACATCACAACTACAGTAGTCAAATCGAAATGCGCGCTCCAAATTTGACTGGCGCATATGCGCAATAGGCTATTTGTTTGTGGTATTCCATTATTGCATAGATTTGTCCCCCTTGGAACTCAGGTGCAACCACACGCAGTCTATCTTAACTTAAATGTAGAAAGCGTCACGTTATTCAAAACATATCATTTTCTTTGCCTCAGATGTAGCCTATATTTTGGACACATTTTACATGCTCACTCAAACATGGGCTAGTAGGCGATTATTCCCTTAATTATGCTTAGGCCTGTGTCTTACAATGTCATTATTGTCTCTCATTCACTAAAAATAAAATCAAGCATCCACCAATGCCTCTCTAATAACATCTACCTCTTTTCTCCCCCTCTCCGCTTTCTTTGTCTCTTTTTCCCTGTCTCCCTCCATATCTCCTTCCCCCTCTTCTCTCTCCTCCATCTTCCTCTGCTCATCTCCACAGGGTATAAAGGTGGCAGAGAGGATCATGGGAATATAACAGCTGTCAGAGGGTTGAGATTGGCTAACTGACAGCTGGACTGCTGTCACTGCTCTAACCTTGGCATTACCCCACCACCTCCCACCCCCACCCAGTATGGCAGATACCCTGGACATGTCTGGCCCTTCCTCTCCAGAGCAGCAGAGAGCCAATAGGATACTCAGTGAGCCTCTAAGACGAAGCCTGAAGCGCTCTCATCCCTGCTCCCTCTCTGAGTATCTCAACAACACTAACAGACTATCCCACCACCATAGCTCCAGTAGTATGGGTATCAGGAGCCTCCTCCACCCTGCTGCAGCCCAGCAAAGGCCCACCCAGCCCAGGCAGACCAAGCCTCGCCGGGCCCCCTCCACCAACATAGACCTCTGGGACTCCCCCAGTGGGCTTCACCTGGCACATGCTGCAGAGCTGCTGATGAGGGCTGGGGCCTTGACACTGACCCCCACACCCAGAGACCAGGGCCCTCTGGGCGGGCTGGGGGCCAGGGAAGCTGGGGTGGAAGGAGAGGAGGTGGAGGGTGGGTCCGGGGCTGAAGGGGACAGCGCGGGTTGTGTGACAGACTTCCTGCCACTGCTAGGCTGCTCCTGGTTCCCCTTGAACCCAGGCCTGTTTGCTCTGATGGCAGGGGGAGGGGGGTTCCTGACTAGTGGTGGTGGGTCAATGGGGATGGCTGGCGTTGGGGAGGGTGTGGAGGTGTTGCAAGGCGAGAACTCGTCCCCTGGTGGTAGGGGTGGAGCCGGGAGAAGGAAGAGGAAGCGATGCGGGGAGTGTGTGCCATGTCGACGTACGGGGAACTGTGAAGAGTGCAGCGCCTGCCGCAACCGCAAGACCGGACACCAGATCTGCAAGTACAGGAAGTGTGAGCAGCTGAAGAAGAAGGCAGCCACCGGGTTCGAGGTGAGAGGAAGTGGAGAAGCACACACCTAAATACATACTATTATTTAGAATGAGCATTAAGCGGGCAGTCTGACTTTATCTGAGGTCTGACAACTAAAAATATATACCTCTGTAGTTGTACTACTCTATACACTACCAGTGAAAAGTTTGGACACTCATTCAATGGTTTTTCTAGATTTTTACAAATTTTTACATTGTAGAATAATAGTGAAGACATCAAAACTATGAAATAACACATATGGAATCATGTAGTAACCAAAAAAGTGTTAAACTAATCAAAATATATTTTATATTTGACATTCTTCAAATAGCCACCCTTTGCCTTGATGACAGCTTTGCACACTCTTGGCATTCTCTCAACCAGCTTCATGAGGTAGTCACCTGGAATGCATTTCAATTAACAGGTGATCCTTCTTAAAAGTTAATTTGTGGAATTTCTTTCCTTCTTAATGCGTTTGAGCCAATCAGTTGTGTTGTGACAAGGTAGATAGCCCTATTTGGTAAAAGACCAAGTCCATATTATGGCAAGAACTGCTCAAATTAGCAAAGAAAAACGACAGTCCATCATTACTTTAAGACATGAAGGTCAGTCTTTGAACTTTGAAAGTTTCTTCAAGTGCAGTCGCAAAAACCATCAAGCGCTATGATGAAACTGGCTCTCATGAGGGCCACCACAGGAATGGAAGACCCAGAGTTACCTCTGCTGCAGAGGATAAGCTCATTAGAGTTACCATCCTCAGAAATTTCAGCCCAAATAAATGCTTCATAGAGTTCAAGTCACAGACACATCTCAACATCAACTGTTCAGAGGAGACTGTGTGAATCAGGCCTTCATGGTCGAATTGCTGCAAAGAAACCACTAAAAAAGGACACCAATAAGAAGAAGAGACCTGCTTGGGCCAAGAAACACGAGCAATGGACATTAGATATGTGGAAATTTGTCCTTTGGTCTGGAGTCCAAATTTGAGATTTTTGGTTCCAACCGCTGTGTCTTTGTGAGACACGGTGTGGGTGAACGGATGATCTCTGCATGTGTATTTCCCACCCTAAAGCATGGAGGAGGAGGTGTAATGGTGTGGGGGTGCTTTGCTGGTGACACTGTCAGTGATTTATTTAGAATTCAAGGCACACTTAACCAGCATGGCTACCACAGCATTATGCAGCGATACGCCATCCCATCTGGTTTGGGCTTAGTGGGACTACCATTTGTTTTTCAACAGGACAATGACCCAACACACCTCCAGGCTGTGTAAGGGCTATTTTACCAAGAAGGAGAGTGATGGAGTGCTGCATCAGATGACCTGGCCTCCACAATCCCCCGACCTCAACCCAATTGAAATGGTTTGGGATGAGTCGGGCGGCAGAGGAAAAGGAAAATCTGCCAAAAAGTACTAAGCATACAGTATGTGGGAACTCCTTCAAGACTGTTGGAAAAGCATTCCAGGTGAAGCTGGTTGAGAGAATGCCAAGAGTGTTCAAAGCTGTCATCAATGCAAAGGGTGGCTATTTGAAGATTCTCAAATATATAATATGTTTTGATTTGTTTATTACTTTTTTGGTTACTACATAATACAATATGTGTTATTTCATAGTTTTGATGTCTTCACTATTATTCTACATTGTAGAAAATAGTACAAATAAAGAAAAACCCTTGAATGAGTAGGTGTGTCCAAACTTGACTGGTACTGTATATACAAAAGTATGTGGACACCCCTTCAAATTGGTGGATTTGGCTATTTCAGCCACACCTGTTGCTGACAGGTGTATAAAATCGAGCACACAGCCATGCAATCTCCATAGACAAACATTGGCAGTAGAATGGCCTTACTGAAGAGCTCAGTGACTTTCAACGTGGCATTGTCATAGGTTGCCACCTTTCCAACAAGTCAGTTTGTCAAATTTCTGCCCTGCCAGAGCTGCCCCGGTCAACTGTAAGTGCTGTTATTGTGAAGTTGAAATATCTAGGAGCAACAACGGCTCAGCTGCGAAGTGGTAGGCCACACAAGCTCACAGAACGGGACCGCCGAGTGCTGAAGTGCGTAGTGTGTAAAAATTGTCTGTCCTCGGTTGCAACGCCCACTACCGAGTTCCAAACTGCCTCTGGAAGCAAAGTCAGCACAATAACTGTTCATCGGGAGCTTCATGAAATGGGTTTCCATGGCCGAGCAGCCGCACACAAGCCTAAGATCACCATGCGCAATGCCAAGCGTCGGCTGGAGTAGTGTAAAGCTTGCCGCCATTGGACTCTGGAGCAGTGGAAACACGTTCTCTGGAATGATGAATCACGCTTCATCATCTGGCAGTCCGACAGACAAATCTGTGTTTGGCCAGGAGAAAGCTACCTGCCCGAATGCATAGTGCCCACTGTAAAGTTTTGTGGAGGAGGAATAATGGTCTGGGGCTGTTTTTCATGGTTCAGGCTAGGCCCCTTAGTTCCAGTGAAGGGAAATCTTAACGCTAGAGTATACAATGACATTCTAGATTATTCTGTGCTTCCAACTTTGTGGCAACAGTTTGGGGAAGGCCTTTTCCTGTTTCAGCATGACAATGCCCCCATGCACAAAGCGAGGTCCATACAGAAATGGTTTGTTGTGATCGTTGTGGAAGAACTTGACTGGCCTGCACAGAGACCTGACCTCAACCACATCGAACACCTTTGGGATGAATTGGAACGCCGACTGCTAGCCAGGCCTAATCGCCCAACATCAGTGCCCGACCTCACTAAAGCTCTTGTGGCTGAATGAAAGCAAGTCCCCGCAGCAATGTTCCAACATCTAGTGGAAACCCTTCCTAGAAGAGTGGAAGCTGTTATAGCAACAAAGGGGGGACCAACTCCATATTAATGCCCATGATTTCTAAATGAGACGTTCGACGAGCAGGTGTCCACGTACTTTTGGTCATGTAGTGTATGTTAGTGTGTTACTGTCAGTGGTCTGGAGGTGTAGTAGTCTGTATCCATGTGTTGTGTTTTGAGTGGACGACTGCCTTCTGACCCCTTTCCTCTCCTTTCATAGAAGATGGTGTTTCCATCAGGAGCAGCGTTTCCATGGCTACAATAGGATTCCGCCCATTGGTCATGAACATTGGTACTCTGGACCTACAAAGAAAGTCAATTCAGCTGGCCTTGTTGGATTGGCTTGGAGAGTACAGTACCTTCGACAATCAAAAGCATGAAGATGAAAACACAATGAAGAAAAGAGAAGTCATACCAATGGATTTACATATTGTTGAGCCAACATGAACCACCTCATGAACCACCTCATGAAGCACCTCATGAAGCACCTCATGAAGCACAGATTATTGTATATGAATAGAAAATGTCATTCCTTTTTATATTCCATTTTTGGAAAATTTAGTCATGGAAGCTTCTGACCTGGACGTTTCCATATAAGCCAAACCAAGAAGGACAGACTGGTCATAATATGATGTTTAGGTTTGTTTTTATATTCATGTCACGGTTAATAAAATGATGAGTAGTAGATGTACTTAAGTCCTGATTAGTGTCTAGTTCTTACATCTCTACAGTCTGCCTTCTGAATAAAGACAAGGAAACTGCCAGTCTGTGTGTGTTGGGGTGAGTATGTATTTCAAGAGTGTCTCTGTGTGTATTTCAGGGGCTGACTGATCGCTCTCCATTTTCCGTGGGGCTTATGAATGTGTGTGTCTTGGGGGGAGGCATGCATGATGGCCTGACACAGAGTGGAGAACCTTATCACTACCTTCCAGACACACACACACACACACACACACACGACCAAAACGTACATAGACAAAACACATGCGCACATGACTCACCACACACTCAACACATTCACACACACGCTCTCTCTCATTCCTGTTCACACACATGCTCTCTCTCTCTCTCATTCCCATTCACAGACATGCTCTCTCTCTCTCTCATTCCCATTCACACACATGCTCTCTCTCTCTCATTCCCATTCACACACTGATTCAATTCCAATTTCATTCACAAGCATGTAGTATGAAGACACACACACGGTGAAGGCCCCAATAACATTGTGAAAGCAGAGAGAGTCCAGCTCACACAGACCGGGGGGGGGTTTGGAGGTTGCCGTGACGATGGTTGATAAGATAGGACCTTAATCTTCCACCGTTCACTCCGGGGGACGGGTGGACAGCGTAACCATGGAAACGGCAAGGCGAGATGTCACGCTATAATTGGGCCATGGCTGCACTTCCTGTGTGCCTTCAGTCAGGGGATCACAGAGAACCAGTGTGTGTGTGTGTGTGTATCCTACAGAAGTCCTGCCAACTCAAGCTAAAAAGCAGACAGGCACGCTGTTACAATTTTCCACTGAATAAGAAACATGTCCTATCATGCATTTCTTTCTCTCGCGGTAAAAGGGATTTTATATTCCTGAATCTCCAGTTTCCCCTTGTGCCTTTCCAGTCATTTTGGAGATGAATCCCCCTTCCCCCGGAAATCTGTGTCACCCGCTGGCCGCGAGGTCTGGAGCCTCCCCAAACGCCTGCAGAGTCTGGCTCTGCTGCCCTGCAAGACGGCAGGAGGGATGGCGAGAGAGGAGAGGGGGAGGGGAGAAAGGAGATGGAGAGACAGCAGGAGATAAAGATAGTAGGGGAAGAGTGAGGAAGCAAATAGAAAAAGAGAAAGGGAAGGGGTCAGACAGATAGAGAGATAGAGGGAGGGGAAGGATAAAGATGGATGCGTTGTCGAGAATACAGATGAGCCTGTCTCTGAGTCTGTCTATGTTAGCCTCTGCAACCAGCTGCTGCATGGCTCAGTAACGCTACACTGGTTGGATCATACTACAGCAGCTCTAGCAGGGCGCCTTAGAAGAAGAGGTCAATGTTCCTGAATCCTAAAGACACACTTTCATCTGTCCTGGTGGTACATGAGACATGCTTTATTGAGTTGGCAGAGATAGAGTTGTGCTGAATGTGTTCATATAGCCAGCCTGACATTCATCTACCGTGTGTGTGTGTGTGTGTGTGTGTGTGTTTGTGTGTGTGTGTGTGTCTGATCTTAGCGCATGTTTCTGTCGCCATCCAGCCGCCACTCGCTAATCAAGTTACCACTAGTCCCTTTTGATCCTTTGTTAACCAGCTGCTGGGAACTCCACTAGTGAACCAGAGCATGGAGTTCCATGTAAACAACAACCACTTGAGAGCACAGCATGGGGTCAACACTGTTTTATTAAGGGACTTCAGAAAAACAACCTTAACCCATCTCAGATTATTCTAGTTTTTAATTCATTCCACCCACACGTGTGACCTGTGTGTGTGTGTGTGTGTGTGTGTGTGTGTGTGCGCGCGCACATGCATATGTGTGTGTGTGTTTGAGATCTAGATGTAATCCTACCCCAGTGCAGGGTGAAAGGCAGGTCTGGTTGTCCTCAACCTCTCTGGTCACCATGGATACCACTCACTACAAATGAAACAACAGAGGACTCCCTTTTTCTCTCTCTCTCCCTCTTTCTTAATTCTCTCTCTCACCCAAGCACACCCACACACACACACACACACACACACACATTTCTTCAGAATTTTTATTTAGCTGAATTAGAGACCAACAGGTCAAAGAAATCTGTGTTTCGCACAAGCATGTTTCACACACAATTTAGAAATAACCTCCTCAAACAAATGTAGTTACAGTGCAGATATACAAAACAGAATATGACCAGAAAGCCTACGAGGTTAGACTGTTAAATAAAAAAAGATCAGGCAACTAAAAACACGACAGGATGGTTTGACCTATAGCCCAAACATACCAGAGACAGCAAAGTGAAAATAAATTATGCAAAATTCATGATTAGAAACGTAAAGCTAAATATCTTCCAACACCCCATGTACAAATCAGATACAAACCTCATGTAACTATGTAGAAATAGCTCATGTTAACCATGTCCAAACCCTCTTGTGTATTTAGGTTCAAGGAGAGGTGGAACTGTATGACTACCACACAGTCTCCAGGAACCTTCAAAGGGGGGCACTTCACCAGAATACCAGCGTCAAGCATTCCTCCCACTCAGCCATGCATGTCCACCTTTGACTCGGCTAAGTTTATAGCTCCTATTTCTCGGCACCGTAGCTCAGGTGAGTGTCTGTCCGTAGGTCACTTGTACCTGGTATTCAAATGAGCTCTTCAGGTGGGCAGTACCTCTTCTGTGTGATTGGTTGACCGTGGGTGCCCCTTGTGTTACCTCAGAGAGGACCTCTGAGGTTTGGTGGGCACAGGAGGCTTGGCGATGGGAGAGGATGTGACAAATGTTCTCCTGAGCTGGGCCACCCGACCACCAAACGCTGGGCTCTCCTCCTCATGACTGACCACCACTAGAGAGATAGAGAGGGAAAGGATTGTAGAAATATCTGTTAAGTCAATTAACTTGAATCGAGTGTAGAGTAGACATGTCATTCCAGAGAAACATGCACATGCAAGTATGCACACACAAAAACACACTCTCTCTCTCTTTCTCTCTCACCTCCTCTGCCCTGTGAGCGGGCCTTCTCTGTGACTGACAGCTGGGGTTGGAGAGACAGGCTGATGTTGCTGCGGTGGGGTCTGTAGCAGAGGCCCCAGTCCTTTAGGTCGTCTGTGCTGTTGCCTGACTCACTGTCGCTGCTGTCCTCCCCGGGGTCCTTTGGGTCATCCTCAGCACTGCCTGAGTACTGGTCCTCCTCAGAGTCCTTAGAGCCGTCTGACTCTTGCTGGAAATAGAAGAAGAATGGTGAGCTACATCCTGTATGGTAGAGCTACATCCTGTATAATAGAGCTACATCCTGTATGGTAGAGCTACATCCTGTATGGTGAGCTACATCCTGTATGGTGAGCTAAATCCTGTATGGGTAGAGCTACATCCTGTATGGTAGAGTGACATCCTGTATGGTAGATATACATCCTGTATGGGTAGAGCTACATCCTGTATGGCAGAGCTACATCCTGTATGGTGAGCTACATCCTGTATGATAGAGCTACATCCTGTATGGTGAGCTGCATCCTGTATGGTGAGCTACATCCTGTATGGTAGCGCTACATCCTGTATGATAGAGCTACATCCTGTATAGTAGAGCTACATCCTGTATGGCAGAGCTGATATCCTTTATGGGAGAGCTACATCCTGTATGGTAGAGATACATCCTGTATGGTAGAGCTACATCCTGTATGGTAGAGCTACATCCTGTATAGTAGAGCTACATCCTGTATGGTAGAGCTACATCCTGTATGGTAGAGCTACATCCTGTATGGTAGATATACATCCTGTATGGTAGAGCTACATCCTGTATGGTAGAGCTACATCCTGTATGGTAGAGCTACATCCTGTATGGTAGAGCTACATCCTGTATGGTGAGCTACATCCTGTATGGTAGAGCTACATCCTGTATGGTAGATATACATCCTGTATGGTAGAGCTACATCCTGTATGGTAGAGCTACATCCTGTATGGTAGAGCTACATCCTGTATGGTAGAGCTACATCCTGTATGATAGAGCTACATCCTGTATGATAGAGCTACATCCTGTATGGTAGAGCTTAAATATTTATCTCCCTCTTTCCCTCTCTTTCTGTCTCACACACACACCACACACACCACACACGCACGCACACACACACACACACGCACGCACGCACGCACACACACACACACACACACACACACACACACACACACACACACACACACACACACACACACACACACACACACACACACACACTTAGAAACACACTTACGCTGAGTTGCATCCGTATGGCTGATTGTGAGCTGGTTTGGTGGTTCTCTCTGTCTGTCAGTAGAGACACAGTATGGATATCAACCACTAGGTTGTTAATTTCTGTACTCTGTAGTCTGGTGTTGGTACGGAAGGTCTGGAGGAGTTTGGAGGATATAAATTCATCCACCTCTCCGATCACGCTCACACTCACATCCCCATCACGGCCCAACAGCCAGCGCACACTCTTACTGTGACCTGAGGAGACAAAGAAACACATAGACACATTTAATATCACACTGTGTCACTACCACAGATAATACAATAGCAGGGAACTCTTAAAACCTATCTCCATTTTAGATCGATCATCAGACTTCGTTGATGGAGTCTGGTTGTCATACTGGTTCCAGCCCAGCAGATGGTGCTGTTGTCTTATCAGTGAACAAACACATTACTGAGGTCTGCTCTGCAGGAACCTAGCTTTGTCTATTGTCCAGTCTACTGGCTCTGCACAAACACTGCCTTACTGACACACTAGTATATGGTCTTCACCTTACAGTAATCACTCAGATCTGACCACAGATCTGTGCTAATTAGATGACTAACAATTGGTGGGATACAACCTCTAGTCTCTAGTTACAGACAGGTCACCATTACAGTTATATGATCACGATACACATGAATAGGCAACTAGCCTAAATGTAAAACAGTTACCCATTTCAATTCATTCATTTCAATTCAGATAACTGAAGATAAGCCTATGTAATATAGAGCAAAATTGCAACAAAAGGTGTGGAAATGTTCTTGCAGCAAATCATTTTGGAAATATGGGAATCATTGTACAAGATGGGCCAAAGGCTGTGTGTGTGTGTGTATGTGTGTGTGTATGTGTGTGTGTGTGTGTGTGTGTGTGTGTGTGTGTGTGTGTGTGTGTGTGACATTGTTGTACTGTGTTACCTACGTACTGTCTTACGTAAGGAGAGTCTTTCTGGGCCATGGGGCTGTGAGAGGAGAATAAAGGGCCTGTGAGAAGAATGGTGAAGTGTTGCGCAACACAGCGCTTTTACGGCTCAGTTTAACACCCAGTGTTAAGAGACGAGAGAGGACTGGCCTACTGCTACTCAGGTGACACACGCACGCTCGCACACACGCACGCCACACACACACACACACACACTCAGGTGACACATAGAGCACAGATTGGAAAGACAAAGGGGTAACGTGATATTCGGGGCTAAAAGCGGTGAGCCACACCAAACACAGGGCTTACTCAATTCTATGCACTGCTATTCAATCTGCCGGGCAGGCAGGCAGGCATGTGGAATGAATCAATCGCTGCAGCTGTGTTTCTGACGATAGAGCTCTGATAAGAGGGCTTGCTAGTACACTATACTGGAGGGGATAGGTCTCATTCTATATACAGACCAGTATCCCTTCTCTCTTTTCTTTCCAAAACTATTGAGCGTGCCGTCTTTAGCCAACTCTCTTGCTATCTCTCTCAGAATGACCTTCTTGATCCAAACCAGTCAGGTTTCAGGACTGGTCATTCAACTGAGACTGCTCTTCTCTGTGTCACGGAGGCTCTCCGCACTGCTAAAGCTAACTCTCTCTCCTCTGCTCTTGTCCTTCTAGACCTGTCTGCTGCCTTTGATACTGTGAACCATCAGATCCTCCTCTCCACCCTCTCCGAGCTGGGCATCTCCGGCGCGGCTCACTCCTGGATTGCGTCCTACCTGACCGGTCGCTCCTACCAAGTGGCGTGGCGAGAAGCTGTCTCCGCACCACGTGCTCTCACCACTGGTGTCCCCCAGGGCTCAGTTCTAGGCCCTCTCCTTTTCTCCCTATACACCAAGTCACTTGGCTCTGTCATATCCTCACATGGCCTCTCCTATCATTGCTACGCTGACGATACACAACTAATCTTCTCCTTTCCCCCTTCTGATAACCAGGTGGCGAATCGCATCTCTGCATGTCTGGCCGACATATCAGTATGGATGACGGATCACCACCTCAAGCTGAACCCTGGCAAGACGGAGCTGCTCTTCCTCCCGGGGAAGGACTGCCCGTTCCATGATCTCGCCATCACGGTTGACAACTCCGTTGTGTCCTCCTCCCAGAGTGCGAAGAGCCTTGGCGTGACCCTGGACAACACCCTGTCGTTCTCCGCTAACATCAAGGCGGTGACCCGCTCCTGCAGGTTCATGCTCTACAACATTCGGAGAGTACGACCCTGCCTTACACAGGAAGCGGCACAGGTCCTAATCCAGGCACTTGTCATCTCCCGTCTGGATTACTGCAACTCGCTGTTGGCTGGCCTCCCTGCCTGTGCCATTAAACCCCTACAACTCATCCAGAATGCCGCAGCCCGTCTGGTGTTCAACCTTCCCTAGTTCTCTCACGTCACCCCCCTCCTCCGCACACTCCACTGGCTTCCAGTTGAAGCTCGCATCCGTTACAAGACCATGGTGCTTGCCTATGGAGCAGTGAGGGGAACGGCACCTCTGTACCTTCGGGCTCTGATCAGTCCCTACACCCAAACGAGGGCATTGCGTTCATCCACCTCTGGCCTGCTGGCTCCCCTTCCTCTGCGGAAGCATAGTTCCCGCTCAGCCCAGTCAAAACTGTTCGCTGCTCTGGCACCCCAATGGTGGAACAAGCTCCCTCACGACGCCAGGACAGCGGAGTCACTCACCACCTTCCGGAGACATTTGAAACCCCACCTCTTTAAGGAATACCTGGGATAGGATAAAGTAATCCTTCTACCCCCCCCCCCCCCCCCCCCCCCCCCCCCCCCCAAAAAAAAAAAATTGTAAAGTGGTTATCCCACTGGCTATTTGTGAGTTGCTCTGGATAAGAGCGTCTGCTAAATGACGTAAATGTGCCCTTGAGCAAGGCACTTAACCCTAATTGCTCCTGTAAGTCGCTCTGGATAAGAGCGTCTGCTAAATGACTAAAATGTAAATGTAAATGTAAATCCTATCAGATAAAGTGGGGGAGAGGGAGAGAATTCTGGGCATTACACATATACACACTGTTCTATTAGAACCAATGGAAAGGATAGGTCACATTCTATATCCAATCAGATAGAGAAAGGGACAGGGAAAGAGAGATAGATAGAGAGAGAGGGGGATAGAATGGGAAAGAGAGAGATGTGGGTTAGTGAGAGTGGTGGAACTTGGCCTGAGCTGAAGGCCTCTTTCTGTAGAGTGTGGTTTCAGGGTTGTTCTCAGAATAGTGGGGTGGGTGCTCCAGCATGCTCAATTACTCAGTACCTCCCTCTCTCTCTCTCTCTCTCTCTCTCTCTCTCTCTCTCTCTCTCTCTCTCTCTCTCCCTGCTGCTTTCTCTTCTCCTCCTCAGTCTCTTTAACCCTCATTACTCCTGTATCTCTCTCTCTCCCCCTGCATCCCTACCTCCCACACTCTCTCATGTCCCCATCTTTCATCCCCCCTTCCTGTTCCCTCTCTCTCTTTCTCTCTTTCTATATGTGAAGGGTTTTCATCTCTCCCTGGCCTGTATGTCCTTTGGTGTGTTGAATCTAAGGACAGAACATTCTGTGCAGGCAGAGAGAGGAGAGGAGGCAGAGGAGGGTACAGGTGGGTGTGACCGCCCAGGGAAAGGAAAACAGAAGTTTTGAAATGCACACTCTCATTTCTCATATGCAGTTACCATGACGCCAGGGGTGTGTTCTGAAGTATAATCTAGTGTACTGTACATGGTCTGGAAGGATTCTGCATTCTGTACTCACTATTAAAAGACTGGTGTGTGTGTGTGTGTGTGTGCGTGCGTGCATGCGTGTGTATTCATGTGTCTATTCATGTGTGCATGCTGTACCTTTCTTAGACCTGCCGTGTTCCCTGGTTCTCCTCTGTCCCTCATCCTTCTCCTCTCTCTCTGTCCAGCGTCTGACCTGCTCCTCTCTCATCTTCAGGAACAACGTTCTCCTCTGGTCTTCACTCAGGGCCTCCAGAACCTCTGGGTCCACCCACATCTCCTGTAGGATCTGAGCCAGCATACTGTCTGATGCTAGATAAACCCCCTTCCTCTGGTGCTGTTGGGACTGTCTAAAATGCTGGTGCCGGCCTGGTTCAACAAAGAGGGTTTTAAATCCCCCACGTCTGGTGGATCTGGTACAGTCCAAATTCCAAAATGCTGAAGAGTTCTCTTTCAACTTCTTAGACGTTCCCTCAGTTATGTTATAAAGCTTCTGCTGGGAGAGTGGATGGTCACTGATTCCTTGCTGGTACTCTAGAGCAGGAGAGAGCATATATATGTGATTAAAGCCTTTCTCCTCAGCTTCTCCCTCTTTGGCTGTCCACCAACACAATTGTATGTTTGTGTGTGTGTGTGTGTGTGTGTGTGTGTGTGTGTGTGTGTGTGTGTGTGTGTGTGTGTGTGTGTGTGTGTGTGTGTGTGTGTGTGTGTGTGTGTGTGTGTGTGTGTGTGTGTGTGTGTGTGAGTGCCTGTGTGCGTACGTGCGTGCGTGAGTGCGTGAGTGTGTGTGTGTGTGTGAGTAAATGTGTGTCCACTCCCTCTACTACCCCCCCACACAGAGCGCTGCCCTGCTGCTTTCAAACATTCAAAGGTAAACAGAGACCAGAGACCAACTCATCTGGGTGGCAGGACAGCTTTATGTAAACAGAGAGAGAATGCCAGTGAAAGACACACACAGAAACCTAGCTTTATTTCCATTATTTGGATTTAGCGAGAGGGAGGGAGAAACAGAGGGAAAGTTGGCACTGTTTATACTTTTTTTAGAGAGAGAGAAAGAGAAAGAGAGAGAAACTCAGAAACAGAGAGAGAAAAGGCGTGGAAGAGACTTTGCAACGAGGCTAGCTATCTCTAATGACCAAAACAGAAGAGACAGAGAGATAACCAGAACTATGTATCCCCCTCCTAAGGCTCATGATCACCTACCCTCTTACCCTATCTATACTCAGATAAACATACATACTGTTTTTAGAACATTATCAGCAGGTGAATGAGATAATGATCAATAGTTATCTTTGTATATGACTCAACACAGAGGGCCAGACCACCAACACTACCAACAACCACGCATTGTACAGTTACAGGACATCAATGGAGAGAGAACAGAACAGCAACACTTTCTATCAGCTAATATATGGCATACCACTACTATTATCAACAGGTAAAGCACTGCAGGAATCAAACACTGGTACAGATTAGAGGCATTACAGCAATTATAACATCATTATAACCTCATTATAACCTCATTATAACAACATTGATACACAACATAAAGACTTGCAGTAGTGTAAGTACAGATTAATCAGAACGGATGCCTGTTACACACTGACCATGGCAGAAAGACACACAGACACACAAAGCGGGAAGTCTTGAATCTATGCCAGCATGAAATACATTAAGGGTTACCATAGTCACTGTTCACATAGAGAGAAAGAACCAGGGCAGAAAAGACAGAATAGAGAGAGCAAGAGGATGTATGTTGTGTACTAACAGAGAAGTTTAAAAAGTGTTTAGTGGAGTTTTCAAACAGAGCCTGTTTTACTGGGACTGACAGAGAGGGGTTATGAGAGTTGGATGAACTCGGACAAGAACAAGAAAGTAAGAGAGAAACAAAAACGAGAGAGTGGTGAGGAAAATAAGTAGAGTGGAGAAACCCCTGAGAAACCCCTGAGAAACCCCTGAGAAACCCAGCATACTTTACTTACTGTGACTGCTCAGCCTGTAGCGTTAGCGAGCCTGGTCCGTGTGTGTTACACAGTGACTGACTGTATCTGGGTGACGTGTGTGTCTGAGTGTGTGAGTCTGAGTTTGTGTGTCTGAGTTTGTGTGTCTGAGTGTGTGTGTCTGAGCATGTGAGAGCAGTAGAGCAGTCTGTCTAGCCTTTGTACTGGATATGAGTGGGCTGCAGTGACATCATAACATTCCCTCTCTCTATGCTACTAGAGAGACTAGAGATCTCGTGGTCATCGAAGATATATATCGAGCAGAGAGCTCGATCTCGCGATCTCTTCATTCCTCTCTATAGATCTCTCTCTCTCTATCTTCTCTTAGCTATCTATAGCGGGGCTCTACTGGTTTCGATATTTATGATCTGAGGAGAGATCTATTTACGAGATCTTTTACCATGTGTGTATATAGATCCTCCTAGACTACTCTCTCTCGTCTCTATCGGTATCTAAGATCTCTTCTCTTGATCTATCTCTATACTATCTCTCGCTCTCTCTCTCTCTACTGCTCTCTCTCTTCTCTCTCTCTCTCTCCTCCCTCTTTGAGGTGGAAATATCTGGAACTCTTACAGGCAGGAGGAAGTATAATAACTTACCGTTAACTGGTCATTGATAAACATGATCACATCAGCAGTCATCGTCAGGTGGCTGACCCCACCCATAGTTGAATGACTTATCAGTATCTGGTAATGAGAGCCTTTGTGTTGTGATGTCTGGTTCCTGGTGCCACCTCATGGCTTAAAGTCAATACACTGTTAAAGCAAAACATGAACACAGGAAGGACATTTGCAGTATACAACAATAACAATGTGCTGTAAATGTAGCATATCAATAAATGTTGGGTTTGAGTCTTGCTGAATTGAAGCAGGAAAAGGAAACAGAAAATATTTACAGTCAGGGGAAAAAGTATTTGATCCCCTGCTGATTTTGTACGTTTGCCCACTGACAAAGAAATGATCAGTCTATAATTTTAATGGTAGGTTTATTTGAACAGTGAGAGACAGAATAACAACAACAAAATCCAGAAAAACGCATGTCAAAAATGTTATAAATTGATTTGCATTTTAATGAGGGAAATAAGTATTTGACCCCCTCTCAATCAGAAAGATTTCTGGCTCCCAGGTGTCTTTTATACAGGTAACGAGCTGATTAGGAGCACACTCTTAAAGGGAGTTCTCCTAATCTCAGCTTGTTACTTGTCTAAAAGACACCTGTCCACAGAAGCAATCAATCAATCATATTCCAAACTCTCCACCATGGCCAAGACCAAAGAGCTCTCCAAGGATGTCAGGGACAAGATTGTAGACCTACACAAGGCTGGAATGGGCTACAAGACCATCGCCAAGCAGCTTGGTGAGAAGGTGACAACAGTTGGTGCGATTATTTGCAAATGGAAGTAACACAAAAGAACTGTCAATCTCCCTCGGCCTGGGGCTCCATGCAAGATCTCACCTCGTGGAGTTGCAATGATCATGAGAACGGTGCGGAATCAGCCCAGAACTACACGGGAGGATCTTGTCAATGATCTCAAGGCAGCTGGGACCATAGTCACCAAGAAAACAATTGGTAACACACTACGCCATGAAGGACTGAAATCCTGCAGTGCCCGCAAAGTCCCCCTGCTCAAGAAAGCACATATACAGGCCCGTCTGAAGTTTGCCAATGAACATCTGAATGATTGAGAGGAGAACTGGGTGAAAGTCTTGTGGTCAGATGAGACCAAAATCGAGCTCTTTGGCATCAACTCAACTCGCCGTGTTTGGAGGAGGAGGAATGCTGCCTATGACCCCAAGAACACCATCCCCACCGTCAAACATGGAGGTGGAAACATTATGCTTTGGGGGTGTTTTTCTGCTAAGGGGACAGGACAACTTCACCGCATCAAAGGGACGATGGACGGGGCCATGTACCGTCAAATCTTGGGTGAGAACCTCCTTCCCTCAGCCAGGGCATTGAAAATGGGTCGTGGATGGGTATTCCAGCATGACAATGACCCAAAACACACGGCCAAGGTAACAAAGGAGTGGCTCAAGAAGAAGCACATTAAGGTCCTGGAGTGGCCTAGCCAGTCTCCAGACCTTAATCCCATAGAAAATCTGTGGAGGGAGCTGAAGGTTCGAGTTGCCAAACGTCAGCCTCGAAACCTTAATGATTTGGAGAAGATCTGCAAAGAGGAGTGGGACAAAATCCCTCCTGAGATGTGTGCAAACCTGGTGGCCAACTACAAGAAACGTCTGACCTCTGTGATTGCCAACAAGGGTTTTTCCACCAAGTACTAAGTGTTTTGCAGAGAGTCAAATACTTATTTCCCTCATTAAAATGCAAATCAATTTATAACATTTTGGAATATGATTGATTGATTGCTTCTGTGGACAGGTGTCTTTTAGACAAGTAACAAGCTGAGATTAGGAGAACTCCCTTTAAGAGTGTGCTCCTAATCAGCTCGTTACCTGTATAAAAGACACCTGGGAGCCAGAAATCTTTCTGATTGAGAGGGGGTCAAATACTTATTTCCCTCATTAAAATGCAAATCAATTTATAACATTTTTGACATGCGTTTTTCTGGATTTTTTTGTTGTTATTCTGTCTCTCACTGTTCAAATAAACCTACCATGAAAATTATAGACTGATCATGTCTTTGTCAGTGGGCAAACGTACAAAATCAGCAGGGGATCAAATACTTTTTTCCCTCACTGTAGCTGTTTGGAGGAATTTCAACCACTTACAGCATATTTACATTGTAGCCCATATCTCTTTCCCTGTCTTTCCAGTTTACTCTGTATTGCGGCAACAAGCTCAAGGTCCTTTCCCTGTTTCGGTCGAGTCAAGCCGGCCAGGTCAAGGTAGTCGCAGGGAAAACACAGACCTGCAACAGCAGCACGTGGAAATTCGGGGGAAACACAAAGCACATTAGTCATAAACCAGCCAGCACAGGTTGGGTATTTTTCCAGGGCAATCAGATAAAGATATGTCGAAGTGAGTCTTAATGTGTCAAAGGTTGTGATTGAGCACATGAGTGTGTGTTTCGACACACCTACTTGTTTATACTTGGCCACTCACTACCAAGTAGATTTCCTTGCCAGGAAATGACTCCTACATTTTCCTGTAACCGTTTGATTCCTTGTCATTGAAATACAGTAATTATACAGTGATTAAGGATTGTAAAGAAATCACATTCACATAACAACAAGTAGGTGGGTAAACTCTGATCGCTGGTCGCAGTGAAAATAAATACTTTCAATGCATTTTTCCACAAAAGCTGTGTAAACTAAATAAAGTGGGTAAAGTGCGTTTGCTT